AGTCGTGGTAGTAGAGGCGGCGCAACTATAACGACATGTGAATAATCCCACCCACTGTAAAGCGGTATTGAACTGCAGTGGAAACGCAAGCCGTGCCGTACTGAGCCGAGCCGTACCATGCAGTGGAAAAGCGCAGATAGATAGATAGATAGATAGATAGATAGATAGATAGACAAAAGTAAAATTAATTTTGTTTGCTAGACAGACACATTTAATTTTATTGTACATTTTATTGTCTCTAGGGGTATATTATATCTAATAAGTATCAATATTATATATTAAATGTAAACAGAAAGTCTAGTCTGTATCCGGGAAAATGGGGCTGTCTGAGAACAGCGGTTGAGTGTGTCCTCGCTGCAGCCTGTAGCATGATGACGTAGCTGGATCAGATCCAACACTTAGACCAAGTCGTTAGACTAAGTCGCTGTGGATAAAAGCGTCTGCAAAATGATAAAATGTAAATAAAAATATGAATTTATTCGAGACCTACTACAGCGCACGCGCGTAAAATATCCACTACGTAGTGGATATAGTCCAGCTACGTCATCGTGCTACAGGCTGCAGCGAGGATCTCTTGGAGCGGTTGCAGGGGATGTTGTTGAGACTCTCTGGCTAAGCATTATATAATGAGATGGGAATTCACTGAATGTGAATTTGATTGGCTGAGAGGGAGGCTGGAGCCAGGGGTTCGCTCTCTGATTGGTTGGTGATGGAGGTCCTGCAGGGTGAGTGCTGGGCCAGTAAAGGGGGAGCAATACTCTGCAGGCACATGTAACAGAATGTCCCAGCCATTCTCTTTCACTCCCTTTCTCGATCTCTTTCGCTCTTTCTTTCCTCAACTGTTTTTTTTCTCTCTTTCCTCCCACCCGCCCACTCTCCTCTCTCTGTTTCTCTCCCCTGTTGCCGTGGCTCCCGCTGTTTGTGCAGACTCTGTCAGAAGGAGTTTGAGAGTCTAGTGACCTGGTCTGAACCACATTCAGCCATTTCCTTTGGAGGGAAACATCTGGTGCAACATGAGAGCTGGATTCAGCTGACCCAACATTAGATTTGCTGTTTACTTTCCACTCAAAACATTTCTAAAAATTTGGGACTTGGACAAATATGGTCTTTCAAGCTTTCTCGGCTGCAAATGCTTTAGCCACAATAACTTGCTTATAGGTTGAATCTCACTAAACATGTCAAGAACATGCCATATTTCATCTTAAAAATCAAAGAAAAGACATTTTAAAAATTATCTATCTATCTATCTATTTTTTGTTTTGTTTTTTTTATTTAAAATAAACTGTAACCTAAGCTTTTTTTTTTTTTTGCACTGTTACATTTATCTTTATTAAGAACTTAAGAAAAAGGAAAAATAAACATATATGCATATATTTTATTTTTTTCCCCCTTTTTCTTAGATTTGTCATTTGTTTTCTTGGATTTTTTTTTTATCTCACAACAAAAAAAAACCTGTAACCTATTAAGCTTTTTTGCACTGTTACATTTACTACTTACCTTTCTTACTTATTATTACGATTAAGAAATCATCTTATTTTTATGACTGTAATGTAAAAAAAAACATTTTTAATTGTACAAAATTTATACATAATGTTATAAATAAATTTTAAACTATAAAATAAAAAAAATAAATCAATTAATTAAATGCTTTATGGTATTAAAATGCAAATAAATCTTAATGGTGCTAAAAATATGCTTTATTTTTTAATGAAAATATAGAATTTTTCTCATATTTTGCTGTACTCCAATACATTAACTTCCTAATTTCTAAATTAATATATATTGCAAGTAAGAGATACTTACCACATGCGGCTGCCTCTTCTCTTGCTGGAACTTCGCCTTCATATCCTCCAGAGATTTCTTTAGCTTCATTTCCTCCACTGTTCCCAGATGTCTTTGTGCCAGCTGCAGATAGAAGGCCCACTTGGCTGAATCGAAGCCCCAGTGACATGTGCGTTTGTCTGGCTGTCGGTGGGTGTGCATGACAAAGCGCTCTGGGCAGAAGAACATCCGGCATTGGGAACAGCGGATACAGTGCGCATCCGGGCTGGAGTAAAGCTGGGGTACAAACAGGCCTTGACACTTGCCCAGACACTGGTGTTCCACCCCAAATCCTCCAGATTCCTCGCCGTTTTTCTCATCCTCCTCTCTATCACCATGCCCTTTGTGTGAATCATGAGAGGGTTCCTCACCCGGATGCAGCAGGGTGTTGCAGAGACGCTGGGCATCGGTCAGTGTGATGAGGCCGCAGGATGGGGTCCCTGGAGGAAGGATGCCCAGCACTTTGAGGATGTGTAACTGTGTGGCATCGCAGCGGGAACAGTACAAATACAGCTGGTCGCACACAGAGTTGATCTGTTGCAATGAGAATTCCCGCAGGACGGTGTTGAGCAGCTGGGGCAGACAAAGACGCAGTTCGCCTCCTACAGAGAAGCAGTAGATGGATTCGCCCTCCAGACAGCAGAGGACAAGGTCTGTCGAGCTGTCAGGGGAAACTAGAACGGGTCCCCCTGCCATACCTCCCTGAGCCAGAGGGGGTGCTATCTTATACTGACCATGATGACCAGTGAACGCAGCCGGGCCACCGAGGGAACACTGGCTGCTCAGAGAGAACTGCGCTAGAGTGTGCTTCAAACCAGGACTCAGATCCAGATTGGCCTCCATTTTGTTCGTTGCCTTTGAGACCTGATAGCCGAGATAGGTTTCTGGGATCTTTTTGCAGGATAAATTAAGAGCAGCCATCACACGTTTCTTTATGGGTGTGCCGTCTACGGCTCTGTCTCGCATCAACCTCTTTAATGGCACTTTTAGAAGTGCCTGTTCCTTGGGAAGGTCTTGGCACTTGTTCTCAGGAGTCGCCATAATATGATATGGATATCACTAAGCTTTCTTCGGGGACCAGAAGATACACAGAGGAAGTGTCAGGAATGCAGTGCTTTTTATATGTGGATCATAGTAGGTCTTCAACACTTCCCAGATGGCTGAGAAATCAAAACAAGCATCACAGATTACTAATGATTAAAAAAAAAACATAATATATAGTAAATTAATAGTAATAGTACTTAATAGTACTATTAAATAGTAAAACTTATCAGGCACCTTTTATGAAATGTTTTAAAATAAATTGTAATAAGGTAAAGAAATATTTAGAAAAAATTATAAATTAAACGATCAAATATAATACATTACATTGATCTCATATAAAATATTGCATAATATTTAAAATATTTATTTAATAATATAATATTTATTTTGTAAAATTAATTTATGAATCACAGACATGGCATAAACTGAAATTTCTGCATTAACATAAAATGTGAACCAAGGTTATTATAGTTTACTAAAACTAAGACCATTAAAACATTTTTTGTAACTTAAAATAAATGTTAAATTGGGAAAAAAAAAAAATGTATATATATATATATATAAACGCTTTTTATTCTTTTTAAAATATTGTTTTAAGTCAGCATTTTAAATTTTCATTTAATCTAACTTGATGTACTAAAATAACTAAATAACAAACTAAATAAAATCAAAATTAATAAAAACTTTACAGACATTTAACCAGGATTTAGTTAAAGGGTTACTCCACCCCAACATGAAAATGTTGTCATTAATGACAAAATTTTCATGTTGGGGTGGAGTAACCCTTTAACTAAAATTAAAACCAAAACTAAAACTAAAACCATAAAAAACTACTTGAAATAAAATAAACATTAACTGAAATAAAATAAAATTTAAAATAATATAACAAACTTTCTATTTCAGCTAGTTGCCAAAGTGACTATTCTAATTTTTCTTGATGAATTAAAATAACTAAAATAAAAAGAAATAAACATTAATAAAAAAATTATATATATAAAAAAATTACAAAAACACACAACAAAATTGCTAAACCCTTTACTAAAATTAAAATTAAACATTAAATATAAAATAAGAAAATATGAATAGAAAGTCCACTGATGTGGACATTTCCCATGTCATTCACAAAACAGTTTATTTTAAATAATTATAAGATTATTTTATAATTAACTCTTTAATTATAATTAAAGACCCTACACTCGTTTCCAGGTAGGGTTAATAGTATTAGTCTCGTTGTTTTAAAACGGTTATGTCTTTCGTCAGTGATAGCGCAATCTTCTCACAAATTTAATGTGTTATGACTGTAAGCTATGTAATAGACTTTACACCCCCTCTGACTGCGAGAGGCTCCGCCCTCTTCCCAAAGCCCCGCCCCTCTGACCGGTCTTACTCAGAGCTCCGCCCCTCCCCCCTCTGCCTTGGTAATGTCATTCACTCGTGCCAGAGACCTCTGCGGGACTACCCCCATATGTTCCCAAACCTATGACACTTTCACATTTCACAACAAACTGTGAAGGCAACCCCTCGAGAAGATTTCATTGCGGAAAAAAAACCCGTCGGATTCTGTAGATTTAATGGTGATAAAAATATTTAGGTTCTGCTTGTGTGAAATATGATCACCGCGTTGATGAAAAAACATACATTGTAATTTTTTTCTAACAGCGCTTGAAGGAAATAAACTACAACCGTAGCCGATTACTGTCGATTATCAAATAGCATATGTATGAGCAATCTTAGAAAATATCACATGAAAAATTCAACTGAAACAGTCGAAAATAATCCTTTAAGATTTTATACGCTAAAGAAGACATTTCATGTAAAGACACGGCAGGCAATCATATGAGGAAATGAATATATGAATGCTCATGTAATATACTGAAATATTAAATATTGAAAATACGTGCTTTCGTTATAGAGAATGTAAACCGAAAAACAACATGTACTATTCAAAGCTTACCTTTAAATCAGAAGTGTGAATTCAGCGTTGTTTTGACGAGAAGAAAAGGAAATAATTGTATTTTACACCACGGGATTCCGTCTCGGAGTTCACAGCGGAACGAGCGCCCGTCGCCCTGACACCGATAACACTGGAGCGGACTTCATGCTGATAGACTAGACGTCAATCCACAACCCAACAACCTACGTCACCCGACGGGTGCCACGGCTAGACGGCGTGATTTAGCGGAGGAAGTCTGTCTCGCGATCTGGGGGCGTTACCCGCATTCCTATAAGTCCCGCCTGATTGGGGAAGCTCTCTGAATGATTTTTTAACTGTCCAATCGCTGATTGCCATTCGCTCGCTTCTACCGACCACAGCCATAGCAACCGTAGCAAGAGTAGGAAGTCTGTTTGACGATCTAGGGTTTATGTGCGGTAAACATACACGAATTATTGTGAACCATGGTAAAGGTGTGTCTTTGTGCAGACATTTATAAAACAGATTTTTTTATCGATTATATTGTTGCTTAATAAACACAGGCTAACTGAGCAAAAAAAATTATGAAATGATTCAAATGTATTAAGTCATTTTAAAATGAAGAAAACACCAGGGGACCATGATAATAGTCCCACCGTATTTCTCAGAGTGGGTATATTAAAGGGGTCATATGATGCTTTTTTAAAGATTTGCCAGACTATTTTTGTCCAAACACTCGTTAAGAAAACTGTCCATTATCATCCTTAATTTGGAAACGAAACACTAAAGCCCTTACAAAAATATCCTGCAGGAATTCCTGAAGGAATGCTGCTTTCTGTGCAAATTAATTAAATGCACTGAAATAAAAACAACTTGTGTTTACTTTAAAAATGTGCATGGAGTACATAATTTACTCTGCATTCAACCGAATAAATGGGAGGTTGATTGAATAGCTGTGTGAATGGTAATGCATGTATATAATGTTATATTGTATACTATGGTACAATAATTTGTAAATATCTGTCATATATTCATATTGTTTATTTATAAGTTATAACTTTATTTTAGCAAGTACACTAAAATAATACTTTAATTAAAATAAAAATAACACACACAAAGTCATACTGTATGACTTTGAGGTCACACTTCTTGTGGTTTTGCATGTTCCCGCCGTGTGAGGAAGGTGAGTCGCCAGCTGAGGAGAGTGAGTCGCCCGCCGTGTGAGGAAGGTGAGTCGCCAGCTGAGGAGAGTGAGTCGCCCGCCGTGTGAGGAAGGTGAGTCGCCAGCTGAGGAGAGTGAGTCGCCCGCCGTGTGAGGAAGGTGAGTCGCCAGCTGAGGAGAGTGAGTCGCCCGCCGTGTGAGGAAGGTGAGTCGCCAGCTGAGGAGAGTGAGTCGCCCGCCGTGTGAGGAAGGTGAGTCGCCAGCTGAGGAGAGTGAGTCGCCCGCCGTGTGAGGAAGGTGAGTCGTGGCAAACTCAGTAGCTCCAGGCAATAGTATAGTGACTTCCGGCAACAAGTTATTAGTCTTATTTTTGGACCTACCGGCCCGCCATATTCTGGGGCCTTTGCCTTTTACTTTTCATTACTTCCAGACTCTCAGAGAAACCGTTTAAGAGAGTTTCAATGCATGGCAATAAACAACAACAGTTTCTCTGCTGTTTTCAAAGTGAATTGGAAAGTTGCAAAGGTTTGAAAAGCAATAGGTCAAGTGACCTGGAGGCAAAACAAGTGATTCAACTCATCCAGAAAGAGATCCAAGAGAAACATTTTTAATATCTTTGTGAACCTTAAAGCAATACAGCCAAGGTTTATGAATTATGTGCAGTGTAAACACAAGTTATTAAATGTGACCTAAAAACAACATAGCCGAACATTACTGACACTAGGTGAAAAACTGTATTGTGCGGCAACTGATGACTGATGAAGGGACTGAGACTCACAGATTAAAGGAATAGTTCACCCAAAAATGTACTCACCCTCAAGCCATTCGAGATGTAGATGAGTTTGTTTCTTCAGTGGAACAGATTTGGAGAAATTCAGCATTACATCACTTGCTCAACGATGAATCCTCTTTCATTGGAGGAGGTGTTATTATGGATTATGGACTGGTATTTTGTCCAGAAGCGATGAGGTTAAAACACCTAAATGATTCATTTGTTTATTACAAACATACTGCCTTTCACTTCACAAGACATTAACTGAAGGATTGGAGTCATGTGGATTATTTGTGGATTATTGTAATGTTTTTATCAGCTGTTTGGACTCTCATTTTGACGGCACCCATTCACTGATCCATTAATGAGCAAGTAATGTAATGTTAAATTTCTCCAAATCTGTTCAGATGAAAAAACAACGCATCTACATCTGGGATGGCCTGAGGGTGAGTACATTTTCAGCATTTTTTTTTTTTTAATTTCTGAGTTAACTATTCCTTTAATTTGCTAGGGAAGAGTGGAGCTCCATAATGCCCGATTTAATCATTTATTTTATTAATTTATTTGCCCTCACCTATCGTCTACCTTTCATTATGTTGTCACTCTCCTCTTGCCAGGCAACAGGACCCTGGTTCATATTTTTGGAGCCTTCAAAGCAGACAGCTCCCAGAATATACACATAGGACAAAACAAAGAGAGAAAAATCCTTGTTGCTAAGAAACAGAGGAAAAACAGATCAGCAGGAGGACCATTTGCTTGAAATAATAGACCAAATTAAGCTGAATTACTACACCATGCTTTGCAATTGTAATAACACAATGTGTTTTTGTCACTTAAAATAAAAAATAAAATAAACATCATTTTACACTGTTTTCGAAACATTTGTGTGCACTGAATATATAACAAACACACTGTCATTATATTCTGAAAATTTTTCTTTAATTTTAATATACAACCTATTTGTCAGTCTACTGTCTAATGGGGAGTATTTGCATTTAAATCATATCTCACACAACCCAGACTTCAGAACAATCCTACAAGTCATACATTTCACAAAAACTTAATGAATATAGATTTAGAACATAAGGTCACATCAGGAAGTCCATGGAGATTAGCTGCACTTTTAAAATTAAAAGGCAAACTAGATAGAAATATAATGTTCATCTGTTGTCGGCAGTATTCTAACCATTATTTTTCCACAACTTAAGAAGTTTCTAAAACACATTTTTAACCTGAAAGGGAAAAAGACATTCATCAGATCATTGTGCTTATTATATATGGAGAAGTTTTGGTTCACTGCTTATCATTTTGGTCTTGCCTGCTTTTGTCTTCTCTTGATTTGCATTTCTTGTTGTTGTTTTGCCCTGACCTCCTCCAGAGTTAAGCACCCACCTGGGAAAGTAGCAGACATGGTTAAACCAGACAATATCGATGTATTCTATTTGAAGAGCACATGTAGAAACAATTGACTGTGCCAAATGTGGTGACCCAGGAGAATGTAAAGTATTTATCAGTTTCCACACTCGCTGCTTTTATGCTTGTGCCAGACCCATCCAGATATTCATGTATAAAAGGAACTTTAACTCCCCCTAGTGGTCACAACACCAAATCTTTTTATTTGATTCCTATCAAACAGATTCTAGGCTTCTCAAATTTGTTTTCTGACATGGTTGGTTGAATGACTTACCCACAGTACTAGGAGATATGGAAATGTAACCCATGGCCCGACTCAAGCGCAGATCCTCCAGAGCTGCCAGTTCTGCTTCTGCTTCTGTTAAACAGCAAAGAATTCAGTCAGTGAGCAGAAAGAAAGAAAGAAAAAGAAATCAGAGTGAGATGCTGCATCACAATATACCTACTTTGCTGAATGTCTTGTCTTTTCTTTGGGTTTGGTGCAAATACTGTAAATGCCTTTTGACTGTCACACAAAAAAATAGGAAAGTGTCGGTGATCAAAAGTCATTATTTGAGTGAACAAAACAAGCTCTAATGGATTCTATGGCAACTACACAGTTTACTGCTGATGCTTGGATTAAGACCTGATCCACCATATGTTTCCACTGGCACTGTCCTCCTACCTGTGGATTTCAGAAAGCGCATGCGAATATGTTTTTGGCATTGGTTGTTCCTTCGGTGCATATTTCGCAGGTTTGGACCTCGTTGAAGTCTCGGCCGGTTTCGCCTGTATTGCTTTATTGCTTCTCTCCGTTGCTTTGGGTTTGTATTCGGTGTCACGGGTGCATCTTGGGCAGCTTGATGTCCTGTTTTTGCGGTGACCGACATCTCTGGTTCTGACTGCAGGTGTGGTTTCAGCTGTACTGGCTTTCTTGTTCACATGCTTAGGTTTCGTTGCAACAGGTTTCGGCTTTATAAGTCTCGTGTCCGGCATATTGAGGCATTCGAGCTCTCACCGATGATGTGCAAATTTCCTTATTCCATTGATAAACTTTAATGCACCGGTTTCAACCAGTGATATAAAGCAGATCTTCTCACATAAGAGAGAGTATAAAGACCGTGCGTGTAAAGTTTAGTGGACAACCGTAAACAGCGCAACAGCGTGTCTGATCCGATTACTGAGCGCGCAGGGCACACTGGCCACTGGTGACCTCACGGTAAACCATAGTAACCACGCATAGTAACCGGTACTTCAACTACTACTAGGCCTACTACTACTAATTAATAATAATAATAATAATAATAATATAAAGGTGCATTCATTTTATTTTACTTTATTTTTTTTACATTTTTAAAATACATTTTGTAATTTTTACGGTGGTTGGTCTCGCTATTCTAAATTAAATTAAATGTAGCCTATAACAAGTGTTGCTCTACTACATTTCTAAACTAAAGTTAGCTTTTATTAAGTAGACTGTTTTACAGGGGCAAAATATGGAAATTTAACCATTTTCAAGGAGGAAAATAGAAGATAGCCTAAATAGGCTAATCAATAATGCTTGGTTTACTAAAAGTTAAAATATGCCGTATTAGTATTTCCAAAGAGAGCTCATTAACTCAATCTCTCAGTAATGGAGAAGCTTTATTATTGTTATGGTTATTATTAGCTTCACAATGGCCAAAGCAGCCATTTATAATATAGAGATGGAGTCTGTTTTGGGTTATACGTGCACAAATATAAGCATTTTATGCTTGCTGCAAAGTGTACATGTACATTTCCTCGTATTTTTCAATGACAGAAGCGTGTACGGTCCTCCTACACTGTAAGCGGTGCTGTAACATTCACCGCCCTGATGAATTTCTATCGCTACTTTTACCTTTGACGCATTAGGACATGACGGGATTGTAGCAGTCGCTGAAAACGGTCAGTGTGTGATGGGAGAACTACCCCGTTGACTTCGGACAGGTAGGTAGGATCTTGAACGCTCATTAATCAGTTGTAAAAAGAAGGATGTTTAGGCAAGGTCCGCGACCGGCTCGGTTGCAAAGGGAGGAGCGCACGCTCGCGCACAGAGCATCATCATTTTCCCGTTTGACTTTCATTTTGTGTATTTCAATGCGCAGCAAGTTACGCCGTGTGCATTTCGTGTGCTCGATAAAAGGCAGCTGCTTTTATATGCATCACGCCGCGCCATAATTTAGGGAAGTGCAGGTCTTCGGGGACGGACAGAGGGCTCTAGCTGTCACTGCACGAACACACGCCCATTTTCAATATATGACCAAAATAATGACCCGCGGAATGAGCATAAGACGTAAATGCACCGACTCCGCAAGCCGCCGTCGCATTCAGTGGGCTTTTTTGTAGGACCTGTGCATTTGTTTTTATTGCGATTTCTGCCGCTCCGTCATAGGCCGTCGAAATGTTATAACAAATACGCGGATGTTTTTGGGAATCACCGTGGGTGTTTATTCACAAATGACTGCGGCTCGCGCATAAACATTGAAAACACGCGTGGCGTCCTGGCACCTGTGCGCGCGGCGCTTCCTGGTATGTGTCCATTAATGTCGTTCAGGTTTCACAGTTATTGCAAGGAGAGAGGGTTAAAACCTTCATGTTCAATAACTACACGAATGCTTCATTTACACTCGGGATTTTTATTTCTATGGTTCGTATGAAACAAAGCGCAGCGCATTATTCGTCTTCGCTGTGCAGGCCTGGCGCAATATTAGGCTACATTAGGCTATTATTGTAGCCAAATTGTCTTGTTTTAAGCAGAAATGCTCAGATGCTTCATTTTTGTTCAGCTGCGGCATGGTGTGAGTTATAATAATAATAATACACTGTACATTTGTGGTCAAATTTACGGTAAAATAAACAACCGTGGTTGCCAGAACTTTACTGTAAAAATGCAATGATGATATTACAGGCATTACGGGAGGTGTTTGGTGATTGTATATTTTACAGTTCCTAACTGTACATATTATTAAATGATGTACTGTTAATATACAACATATTTGAGCTTATTTGACCTATCAAGCATCTGTGGCCACTTGTAGCCCAATTACCCACACAAGCACGTAACACCAGTTACATGATTATTATATATTAATAAAATGCAAAACATAACTTGTAACAAAAATAAACGAATGCCACAGATGAGTTTTGCATTGAAATGCTGCTTTGCCCTTAATTATAAGGCGTTTTATATTTTTTACATATGGAAAATACTATTTTAACAGTATTTTACTGTACTATATACTTATTTCTTTAATATAACATATTTTTTATGAAAATTATAAATAATTCCTACATGTTTTAATGTACATTTTCATGTATTGTCTTTTAAACTATGATATCATTTTCACCGTATATGGTGAGGTAACTTACAATTGCGTTAACCAATCGATGGTTTTTGCTGTAACACTTTGACATTCTTTTTAGTTAAAAGGATTTTTTAAGGCGTAGGTAATACAATGATAAGATGTTACAGATTCCATACTGTTTTGTTCAGTTTTGTTATTTGTTTCTGCACATAACCAGAATTTTAAATGCATTTCTACTCTATATACTGTACATATATAGCATACAATAGCACATATAGAATCTTTTATAATTCTACTAAAAATATAATTAAACACAGTTGATATTCCTATGTTCTGCTGATTGTATTGAATCTGAACTTTAGTTCCTGATAGAAATTCAGCTAGAACAGTGCAACATTTTCACTCATGCCCAATTCCTGTTTTAAAGTTAGTCTACTGAACAGAATCAACTTATTAGTTAATGCACCTAAAATAAATCCCATAAAATTAAAATATATTTGCTGCTTTAATAATTTATGTAGTGTGGTCATTTATTTTTATTTTTTTCATATCATGCATAAAAGGCATCTAGTATAGAAAGGCCGTTTTCTTTATATAGTGTAGATATATTTTTAGGTGACCGTGATTTTGCCAAATAAGACATGCTCCTGGATCAACATCTTTTGTTGATCCTGGATCAACATTATTGTCCAAAAATATAGACCTAACCCTATCCCTACCCCTAAACCTAACCCTACCCATAATTTATTCCTAAAATCAGAGGGAAATGATGGTTGAATAACAAGGGTGTAGAAGCACCTAACTCTGGTTGTAAGGCGAAAATTGACATTTCCTGTTAACTTATCCCTCAATTCTGATTGGTTGATTGGAATGTTGTTCCAGGATCAACATGGATGTTGATCCAGGAACATGTTGCACTTGGTGAAATCACATTCACCATATTTTTATGTATAGTGGTAAAATGTATATATGTGAATAGATTTTTATTTGTTATGCATGCAAATGCACTTATTAAAACATAATTATAATTGATCTCTCCTGTCACTGATTAATGAAATTCAGAAGACCTTTCTGCAAGGTTGTCAGTTTCCACAACAGTCATGTTCTTCATTTCATTCTCGTGCAAAGTGTATTAGAAGACAGGCCCTGTAAGCAAATACAAGAAAACTGATGGAAATTTGCATGTTCAGCTTGAGTCCCTAGACAAATGACCAGCCTGTGGTTGACATATTTTTGTAGTTCTTTAGGATATCTATAGTTTACTACATTCAGTTGCACTGGGACGTGGATTTTACAAATGGAATAAACTTCAAGGTCGATATTTTGACTTGAAGTAGAGTTTTAGTACACTTACATATTTACAGTCAACTGTATTTCAGCTTATTGTGTCCAGATTCTGTGGAACAATGGACAAGGAGCCCCAAACTAAAGCAGAACCTGCAAAGAGCACAGTTAACACCACGACCACCACAGCGGTGAACCCTTCCCATCAGGCCAATGGCGCACCAAAAACTCCTCCTGCGCTCACAACTGTAACCACCTTCCACAATCAACCCACCCCCACCAACAGAAAAGTAGTGCAGGTATGTTTGCTCAAACCATGGTCAGTTTTGTGTATAATTTCTGCCCTTTGAAAGTGAAGTGTTGGCCCTTTTCATTAATATTCAAAGTATTTGTGCTGTCAACACATACAGTAACTGTGTAAGATGAATTAAATGAGTTTAGCATCATTACATTTCTCTGAGGAAGGTACCGTATTCATTCATCTATTTTAAAAGACACATGCAAATATTGTTTATCAGTCAGATTCATTTGTAAATGAAAATATGATCAGTAAGTAAAAACACAGTTGATAAGAAGATGAGCTGCAGGTTCATGAGGAACTACATTTGATTTTATTTCATTATTCAGAATCCACATTGGGAAAGGAAATGTATATATTTACAGGAACAATTCAGCAAAATCATGTTCATCCAGAGAACATGATTCATTGTTTATAATCAACCGACAAAATAAGTATCTGCATAAATAAAAAATAATTATCTGCATTCTAATGAGTAACTAGGTGCGCTGAACGCTGTTTCCGGATAGCCTAAACTGTCTAAAAAAAATGGAAGTAGTTGTGCAAGTAATCCATAACATGTAAAATGTAATTTTAATATAACATTTCGATTTCATATTTATACATCTTTTTATAATACTGTTTGTTACTATTGTTTTTCATCTTTTATAATAAAATTAACCACTTTATTCTATCATCATAAAACTTCTATCTCTTCCTCCAGGTCAATCTGTCTGGGGACCGACTGGCACCTTCTTTTTCACCAAGTGAGAGAGTCAGCCAAGCTTCATCGTCGCAGCAAAGCCCTAAAACGGTGTGTGTGCAACAACATAGAAGAAATAATGTTCGTTCTCTTGGTGTTGTCATGACATTTATTGTTTAATTTCTCTCAGGTTTTTCTTCCCAACACTCCTGGATCAACACCTCTTGTAAGAGGAAGTCAGAATCCAAGCACTGCTCGTAAAATCTCCCCTCAAGCGCTGCTTCTGGGGAAGAGCCCGAGTACAAGTCAGGCTCAGATGCTTCTGAGGGCCCAGATGGTGAGACAACCTGTGTCATCATGTCCTGTTCTGCAGCATTTTTAAACTCCTCATCATTGCAATTTCAGTTCCTCACATGCACTTTTAACAGTTTTACCCATAATGCAACAGAAGACGTGCCCCCTTTCACACTCAAATGGAAACTTTGCTGGTTTCTCAACTCTTAGTGAATGCAGATATGAAGGGTGTCCTGTGACCCACTGCACTGTTTACTCACAGTCCTTGTTAATGTTGTATTTATTGCTCGTATCTGCATCAAAGTGTCGTACTGTTTTTTGACAGAAGTCTCTCATGCTCACCAAGACTGTATTTTATTTGATAAAAATACAGAAAAAAATGCATTATTGTGAAATGTTACTGCAATTTAAAGGGGTCATATGATGCGATTTCAAGTTTTCCTTTCTCTTTGGAGTGTTACAAGCTGATTGTGCATAGATGAGAGAGAGAGAGAGAGAGAGAGAGACAGGGTCACATCACAGTGGATTCAGCTGTCTTAACCGTGGCTTGTGTACTGCAAACACATACCAGCTTCATCACTGTGTCTGTCGCGCGACTCTGTTCCCCTTTCGGGCTCTGTCTTTACATTTATTTTGAAAGCTGAAGCTCGCGATTATGGTAAGGGGTGTTACATTTCCGACGAGTGCTTGCGGTGTTCGGCCAATCACAATGCACTGGGTCCGCTGGCCAATCAGAGCAGACTGCGCTTGTCGGAAGGAGGGACTTTGTAGAAAACGAAGCGTTTGAGAGAGGCGGGGCATAGAGGACCTACAATAATGTACAGTATTTGAAAAATAATGTGTTTTTTGAACATTAAAGCATGTCAACATATTCTGTTACACCAAATACACAAAATAATGATCTTTAAAAAAGCATCATATGACCCCTTTAAAAGAACTGTTTTCAATTTTTAAATATTTTAAAATGTAATTTATTCCTGTGAAGTAATGCTGAATTTTCAGCATCATTACTCCAGTCTTCAGTGTCACATGATCCTTCAGAAATCATTTTAATATGCTGATTTGGTGCTTGGTTATTATCAAGTATTATTGCTATTACTGCTTAATATTTTTGAGGAAACCGTGAAACCTTTTTATTAGAATTCTTTGATTAAATAAAAAGTTAAAAAGAACAGCATTTATTTGAAATAGAAACCTTTGTAACATTATAAATGGAATTACGGTTACTTTTAATCAATTTAATGCGTACTTGCTGAATAAAAGTGTCAATTTTTTATTATTTTTTATTTTTTTATTTTACTTACCCCAAACCTTTGAATCACGACGTATCAGGGTTTCCACAAAAATATGGACAGCTGTTTTCACCATTGATAATAAAAAGAAATGTTTCTTGAGCAGCAAATCAGCAGATTGGAATGATTTCTGAAGGATCGTGTGACACTGAGAACTGGAGTAATGATACTGAAAATACAGCTTTTCCATCACAGGAATAAATTACATTTTAAAATCTATTAAAACATAAAACAGTTATTTAGAATTGTAATGATATTTCAGAATATTACTGTTTTTACTGTATTTTTGATTTAAAAAAATGCAGCCTTGGTGAGCGTAACAGATTTCCAAAAACATTTTTAAAAATCACTTTTGAAAAAAGCTTTTGACTGGTGGTGTGTGTGCTGTGCACACATAACTTATGTCTACAGGTTGTATTTCTTCTCAGCTCATGGTCTAGTGTGACCAGCAGGCATATTGGCTTAAACAAGCAGAGGGTTAGTGTATAGAGGCCTGCACAGGGTGCATGCTTGCATGTCTCTGATGAGGACAGATTTTACTCGACCACATCAAAAGCTCTTCACTGTGCTGTGAAGTTCACCATCACACCTACACAGCAAAAGCACAACAGGCAGGAAATGACAGCCTTCTACTCTGCACCTCTGGGACTTTTTCTTTATCTTTTTACCTTCTCTCTTTTTCTTTCTCTCTTGCATTTCTCTCTTTCTCTGTGCTTGCCATCTGGCAGTTGATTCTAACGTCTGCTGTGCGGCCTGATGTACCTGCCCTCTCCTCCTCCTCCTCTTCCTCCACCCCTTCCTCTTCCTCACCTAGATTTCCCTCCACACAGGTGAGATTGATTATATCTGATCATGTGATAAAGACATCCGTTCTTCTGAATTTAAAGGGACAGTTCACTCAAAAATGATGTTTTGTCATCATTTACCCACCTGAACTTACTTGAGAAGTTGAGCAGAATCTCTACACAATAAAAAGAAATGGTGACTGATGGGGCTCCAAAAAATTATTTGTTATTATTATTTGCTGAAAATTCCCCTCTGCTCTCAAATCTTCTGAAGACTTTGCAAGAATATCGCTGACAAGTCATATGAACTTTTTATTGTATTTTTGTGCTTTTTTTGTCCATTTTAAAAATATGGAAAGAGCAGCTCAGATATTCTGCTAAACATCTTCCTACAATGAAGAAAGTTATACAAGTTTGTAATGACATGAGAGTGAGCAAATGATGACAATTTTTTCCATTTGTAGATGAACTAACTTTAATGTAGCATATAACTGTAAAAGCCAAAAAACATATTTTTTTCTGAAGTTTTAAATCTGTGTTCATCTGGTTTCTGTTACATGTGGTGTTCTTCCAAAACCAGAATTTATGGCATCAATATCTTTCATTCTGTCTCTATTCTTCAGCTCCAGAGTCTGACTCTCCGTCCACCTCCACCTGGCACCCTTACCATCCCTCCAAATTTACCACTAAAGCCCACAACATCAAGCCAACCCCCTTCTCTTTCATGCTCAAGATTACCAACCTTCCATCTGAGACCCAGCCAGCCAGTGAATGCTCCAGGGAAGGATGGAGCTACTAAGACAGAAAGCCCAGCATCTCAAACAGCTCAAACAAAAGCACCCGTTCGCCATCTTACGGTTCCACCTCCATGTAAGTGAACGCATACATATCTTGAACGGTGGTTTACTATGTCATCAAGTATAAAAATATAATGAGGTTTTGGGGCAAAATGCCACATAAAGTGACCAAAATTTCCAACATATCTCTCACAATGTGAGAATATCCAGCTGATTCTTGTTTCTTATTCTTTCATTTTTCTCCAGCCCTGTATGCACCTGCACAGGCCCATGCCTTAGCGAAGCAGAAGCTGAACAGCAGTGTTCTCAAGAGGCCCCACAGCCAGATCAGCATCCCCCAGCTGTTCTTTTGAACTTTCTGTTCATCTGTGAATCCTGAAAAATAAAATGTATCACGGTTTCCACAAAAATATTCGGCAGCACAACTGTTTTCAACATTGATAATAATGACAAATGTTTCTCGAGCAGCAAATCAGCATATTAGAATGATTTACTGGAGTAAATATGCTGACAACACAGGAATACATTACATTTTAAAATATATTAAAATAGAAAATGTTTATTATATTTTGTAATAATATTTCACAATAATCCCACAGGTGAGCAGGTCGTCTCTGATGGTGGGTCCTGTCCATGAGTCTGGGGTGAATGGTGTGAGGGAAGTAGAACTCATCCCTTCCAGTTCAGAACCTCCAGAGGACTCCACAGACTCAGATGATGTGGTTACAAACAGTAAGTAAAACATCTGCCTTATTTTCTAAGTTTGTATTTGTAGTTTATTGCATCATAAGCCAAAATCAATCAGTCAATCAATCAATATTATCTATCTATCTATCTGTCTATCTATCTATCTATCTGTCTATCTGTCTGTCTGTCTGTCATCTTTTACTAATATTTTTTCACTGTAGATGGTGTCGGACAGTCCCACAAGCTTGTTCTGCAGTGCCAATTTTGCAAGAGGAAAGGCACCGCCCAAACATTCCCACGCTCCAAACGCTTCTGCTCCAAATCCTGTGCCAAGAGGTACTCCTCCATTCCGTGACATAAATAACACATTGACAGAATAAAATAAACAACCTGACCTATTAGTATAACTGACACAATAATGAATGGGTGTCTGAGTTGTATTCTGGCACAAACAACTGCTCCATCAACACGTTTCTCAAGCTTAGTGGGGTCAGAAACCACAACTGGAAAGGTCTGAGCATGATTTCCTGCATGTATCTAGAGTTCTCGTCAAGAATAAAAGAACACATGTCAAATTGACTCTTTGTGTGGTGTTGAAAAGGGTATTTCCCTCAGCAGCTTAACAAATTAATATGAATGCTTACAGTGGCCGCATTAAATGTTTGGACACACCTATAAATGTTATGAATGTTATTTCATTATACAGCAATTATCAAACTAAGTGGAGTTTATATTAAAGTAATACAGAACCAAAAGACTTTCTCGATATTTTGAAGACAATTTTTTAAGAGAATGAGTGTTTACAAAAAAGGATTTGTTTGGTTCATAGTTAATGTGGTGAACTGCAACTGTGGTTACTGTACTAGAACACCTATAAGTCAAATTGAGGAACTAAAAATGACAACTTGGTCATTGCAAAATGGCTAAGTGAAGTTAGCTAAGACAAAAGCTGAATCATTTGTTTGCAAATGCCACTTTTTCTATTTTGTTTCTAATGCAATGACTTTGATACATTTTTAAGTATACAAAAGTGTTTTTAGGAGCACTGTATTTAAGTATGGTGGAATAGTGAGTCATGCGCTCAAAGCCAGTAGCTAGCGTTGTCCTAAAAAGACTCACACACTTACACATACATACTGTGACAGGATGTGGTCATGGTTTGTGATAAACATCAACCCTTGACACACATTACAAGCTGCAAGGCTGATTTTGGTCAGTATGTTGGGCTGACTAAAGACAACCTTTGTTTACCTTCTCGATCTTCTTGCAGGTTCAGTTACACCAAACGTTTCCGTGCGCTCAGGCGCTGTGTGAGTGAGGGGGGCCACAGATCTGAGCTCAGTGGTGCTGAGGAAAATTTCCACCAGGTTTGTCCAAGGCCTGTAAAACAATGCACTTGTTTGAGATCTGTGTGCTATACTTAACTCTGTTACCGTCTAGGCCAAACATGGGACCACGGAGCAGTGGAGAATCCTTCAGCAGCCGCCACACGAGGGTGAAGATGTGACGGCTGCTCCAATGAAGACCAGGCTCCGCAGACACACGGAACAGGAACGAGAGCGAGAGATTAGAGTCAGGCAAACAGTGGAGGAAACGAGAAGTGCTCCCACCTCACCCATAGATCCTGTGTCTCCCACCGATGTCTCCCCCTATCCAAAACCAGCTCAGTGGTCGGTGGATCAAGTGTCAAGCTTTATATCCAATTTACCAGGTACAAAGAACCCCTATCTATCTATCTATCTATCTATCTCTCTATCTCTGTCTGTCGGCCGTCTGTCTATCAATCAATCAATCAGTCAGTCAGTCAGTCAGTCAGTCAGTCAGTCTGTCTGTCTGTCTGTCTATCTATATTTGTCTATCTATCTATCTATCATCGTCGCCCCCAAACTCTCCCCCCGCCACACCAAAGAAGCCTCTTCCAGAGTTAAAGCGCTGCCCGTCCACCCAGTCATCCCAAAGCGTGTCGGCGCAGAGCGCTTCAGTGCCCATCACCGTTCCTTCCCCCGCGAGGTCTCACCTCACACCCCATACCCTGACTTTGCCCTTGAGGTCTTCCTCACCCGGTGGGTCCTTACTGGCTACAAAACAGCTGCTGAGGATCGCGTTGTCTTCTGCATCTGCCCAGTGCACCAACGGCCAATCAAAGACAGCTACTGTGTCCCCGCCCCACGATCTCATCCAATCCAAGCCTCTCATCTCGCCTGTGCTCGCTAAACCAGAGTGTCCCGCCCAGCCGTTACGGACTCCAAACCCATGCCCACAGCTGGTGCAGCTGTCGCCCTCCAGACAAACCACAGCGGCCACACCTCTCATCACCACCCCACCGCTGGCGTCTCCTCAAAGGGCATCCCCTCCGTCTCCAGTGCTGCCCCTGGTGTCCACCAGCAGCATTCTCGCACCGCTGCAGTCTCTTTTGACCTCACAGAGTCCAACACAGACATCCGAGACATCGAAAGAGCCGAAGGATAGAAAGCAAGAGCAGAAGGAGGGAGATGTACCAGAACAGACTCCTCAAGATCTGAAATGTCCAGCACCCCAAGAGAAAATCACCCAGCCTGTCACCGTAGATCAGCCATCAAGCGAAACTACGGAGAAGGTTATTAAATACAGTGCAAACTTCAAACTTCTTAGGATACATTTGAAAGAACTTTACTTTTTGTGGGCGACCAATATGGATTTTTCAATGGCCGATACTATGATATTTAGAGAGAAGTGTGGCTGATTTAATGCTAAAAAGACAATTTAATGATGATAAATGTTACATAGATAAATTGCTGAAGTGAAATAAATACAAAATTTGTTCAAAATTGGATTTTGGAAACAATGCAAGGGGAAGCGCTTGATAACTGGCCAATCAGGCCGTTATAATCCAATGCTCATAGTCTCATAATGGTGAAATATCAAATATGATCTGATTAATACTCATGGGCGATATATCAGTCTATCATTACTTCTTAAAATAACTTTTTTTTTTACAGCAGGGTTATTATAGTTAATTCAAACTAAAACAAAAAAAAGTTAATTACATTTTCATTGTTAAATTATAAAATAAACGTTAACTGAAAATAAATAAATTATTTATTTCAGCTAGTTCCATTTTTTTAGTTTAGCTTGATATACTAAAAAAATTTAAACTAAAACTGAAATAAAAATAAATAAAAACTATATTGACTTATTTAAACGAAAAAACATTACTACAACTAACTAAAATTAAAATACACAAATTAAAAACTTTCTAAATATTAATATAACTATAATAGTATCTCAATGATACTATCGTAATATTGTTTTACAGTAATGCTTTAGTGAGTATATGTTGACGTGAACAATCTCTCCGTTTCAGGTCTTGGACAAGATGACAGTCTGCACAGAGGATTCGAGGACTGACAGCCAGATCAAGACGTCACAGAAGAATGAGACACTCTCGACCTCAGTCGCACCATGGCCAGCTGAGAAAGATGACCAGTGTGAGGAAATGTCCACCCAGTCAGACAATCACTCAGGTATATAGAGTCATAGTCATATATGTATATCAAATATATACAATTTATCTGAATGTTTTAGGAGAAACATCTGAGATAGTTCATACCTCAATATATAACTGAGAACTCCATAAAGTCTCCTGAAATCTGAAGCAGGATGTATATACCCTGTTGGTAATATCACAACTGTCTTCATCTTCATCTAGCAATTTCCAGCCTGTCCTCTGACATGTCACCCATCCAGTCCTCCATCACTCAGCCATTAGATATGTCCCCTGTGGACAGCTGCTTTCCTCCAAAATTTCACCCTGTGTTAGAGAGGCCACCAGTTCAGCCTCCCACCGTCAGTCAGATGAAGGCCACAGAGGCTCAGCAACCATCAGAAGCGGCCAAACCTTTGGTTCTAACACACCTGGTGGAAGGATTTATCATACAGGAAGGACTGGAGCCATTCCCGGTAAACAAAATGTCTGTCAACCACTGATATCAGCATAATATATATACTATCTCTCTATCTCTGTCTGTCGGCCGTCTGTCTATCAATCAATCAATCAGTCAGTCAGTCAGTCAGTCAGTCAGTCAGTCAGTCAGTCAGTCAGTCAGTCAGTCAGTCAGTCAGTCAGTCAGTCAGTCAGTCAGTCAGTCAGTCAGTCAGTCAGTCAGTCAGTCAGTCAGTCAGTCAGTCAGTCAGTCAGTCAGTCAGTCTATCAATCAATCAATCAGTCAGTCAGTCAGTCAGTCAGTCAGTCAGTCTGTCTGTCTGTCTGTCTATCTATATTTGTCTATCTATCTATCTATCATCGTCTGTCTATCTGTCTGTCTGTCTCTGTCTGTTAGCGTGGCTTTCTCAAGCTAACATTAAATTTATCTTGACAAACTTTTTCCAAACTTAGTTCCATTATGTGAATGTTATCAGTACTGTTTTAACCCACCTCAATTATCTAAGGGTGTCAAGACATCGCAGAATCCTTCAGAGCCCAAGAGATCGACGGGCAGGCCTTGCTTCTTCTGACCGAAGACCATTTGATGAGCGCCATGAATGTCAAACTCGGCCCCGCTCTCAAAATATGTGCCCGCATCAACTCTCTAAAAGAAGGTGGAAGATAAAGAGAATGAAACAGAGACACAAAAGAAGCTAGGTATATCCTTGTGGACCATAAGAGCACTTGCCAATAGAATAGAGCCATTTTGTGCACTTTAATCTTCAGAGATTTATGCGATAATTTCATTATTATGAGAAAGCTTACATGTATTTGCTTGAACTAAACTAGCAAAACCTTACAGTTCTTGTAAACTTAGCCTCTGTCTGAAAGCATGGTAGCAATATAATGGTCTCAGTCTGTGAGCGTTTTACAGGATACTTATTTAATTGCAGTAGGAGGGAACTGTTAGCGTCTCCTTTTTTTGTATGGGTAATCATGATCAGGGTCAATGATTTTATATTTTTGGCTGAAAGCAAAGGAGATCACTTCCTGTGTCAAGCGCGGGAGAGGTTTGACAAGAACGGAAGTGCTGTTATTGTGTGCATGTCCCTTTGTATATATTTTCCTATCGTATTCCATATGTATACATGTATAACAATGCAGTGTTCTGTGTGTATAAATTAAAAAAAAAATGTTTTGTGAAGGATTTGTAATATTTAATATATTTGTCTTCTAAGGCTCTAGAAAGTACAAATGCGAATCATTTCAAGTTTATAAACATTTTTAAACGACGTTTGAGAAATGACATTTTGTGAAATCTCCGCAGTGGTACTGTGTAAATCAGACAGACTGTCAAAGAATAAGACAAGAAGAAGGTACCCGAAGGCAATCGTTTTAAATCAAGGCAGTGAAAAGGTGCCTTTTTTATGAGACCTTATGAAACTACTGTAGGCATTTTGCTGAGGCAAGCTATGTACTAGATTGTGTCATCAAGTGTTGTTTCTCATTGTTACATTACCTTTCTTGTGCCACTTTTGATTATTTAATTAAACCAACTACATTTTGTTACGGAACTTTGAATTGGTCATTTATTGTACACATTTCTTTGTTGATTTTATTATTGTTTTTGTCCTTTTACAGGTGCATCTTCAACATGTGGCAATGTGTTCAAAAGTTTGGGGTCAGTAATTTGTTTTGTTTTTTCCTCAGAAATTAATCATTTTGTTCAGCAAGAATGCATTAAATTCATCAAAAGTGGCAGTAAAGACTTTTACAATGTTACAAAAAATCTATTAAAAATGTTCTATCTATTCATCAAAGAATCATGAAAAAATGTATCATGGTTTCCAGAAAAATATTAAGTAACACAACTGTTTTCAATATTAATAATAAATGTTTCTTGAGCAGCAAATCAGCATATTAGAATGATTTCTGAAGGATCATGTGACACTGGAGTAATGGCTGCTGAAAAATAAGCTTTGTCATCCAGGAAAAAAATTACATAAAAAATAAATAAATACAATAAAATCTTGTTTTAAAAAAGATCTTACTGACCCCAAACATTTGAACAGTAGTGTATAAATCTGTTTTCTGTCATTTAGTAAGGGTTTCTCTGAGCTTGGTATAAGTCATCATAAAGCCTCCAGATATGTTTCTTTTTTTTTTTTAAGTCAACTTTATTAATCCCACAAGGGGCAATTAAAGTAGGATAGTAGCATCACACAACAACTTAATACAAACATAAGATATCACCTAGACAATACAAAGAGATAAATAAGTACAAACACAACCTAACATGCTTCATAATAAATTCCATACATAACAATAAGAAAAAAAATTACTAAAACTTTGAATTGCAAAAATGTATAGCCTCTGGAACAAAAGTGAATTTATATCTATTAGATGAACATTTAATGCTTCTGAATCTTCTTCCAGAGGGCAATACCTCAAAGTAAACCTTCAAGGGGTGAGAGTCATCTCCTGTAATACTACGAGTTTTCCGTAACATTTGTTGCTCGTAGAATTCTGCTAGACTCCGCAAAGGCCTAAGGTCTGCAAACAATTCTTATTCCTAAGAGAGAGTGAAGATTACAAGCATAAAAAAATAAAAACTCAAGATACTCTCAATAATAGTATAAAAAGTTCTCAGTATGTTTTTTTGTACACAGAAGGAGTTCAATTTCCTAAGAGCTTACGTTTTTGATTCACTTTCTTAAAGGGGTCATAGGATGCTACATGCACATTTACAAGTTGTTTGAACTGAAATGTGTGTTGGCAGTGTGTGTACACAACCATCCTATAATGATAAAAATCCACCCAGTGGTTTTTTTTTATCGTGTTAAATGTTTTCCCCTTTCTCAAACCGATCCGATAGATACTTGTACTCCTGTACCCTTTCAACTTCTTTTCCATAAAAATACACAGGTTTCACCTTTGAGGCGTTTTTTCTCAAATCAATTACCATCTCTTTCGTTTTAGTAATATTCAGTTGTAGTTTAGCTTCTTTGCACCACTCAAAGAACTCGTTGTGATCGTTACTGTCATCACATTCTGCACTTGTTAACAAAGATAGAAAAACTGTGTCATCAGCATATTTAACTACATGACAGTTATCCTTAGTGCTGCGACATTCATTTGTATAGACTCAGAGTATAAAGAGAATTGAAGACAGTAGGCTACGCACCCCTGAGGAGATCCAATTGATGTAACAAGCGTATCCAACAACACTCCATTCAACATGACTCTTTTGCTGCCTACATGTCAAAAAATCTAAGATCCATAAAACTAAGTCGTGACTCACATCAAATTCACATACAAGTTTCTTCGCTAAAAGAATAGGATTCATTGTGTTGAACGCAGAGGAAAAATCAACAAACAGCTTTCTAGCAAATGTGCCTCCATTCTCTAAATGTTGTTGTGTGGTATTTAAGAGGAACGGCTTTGCATCATCCACACCTATTTTAGTGCGATATGCAAACTGTAAAGAATCCAGTGTTACCAATTTAGCAATTTTGTTGCTAAATTTAGCAACTTTTCACACTACCCTAGCAACTTTTTCTTCCAAAAGCACCTAGCAACAAATTTAGCCATTTTTAACATTTATTTGGCAACTTTTAGCAACTTTTGATAAGTGACTCTAAAGCTAAAAAGGCACACATTTTACATCTAAATTACACAAAATGAGGAAACCAAAGATGCCTAGCTGTACACACTTCGCATGAATTAAATTAGCTGCTATTAGCAATTGCTCAATTTAATAATAATAATTTAATAATTGTTAATTTATGATACACCTTGTTAGTAGCTTGTACCTGCGATTGTTGATCAGTTAGTACACTGTAAGAAAAATATCTAGAAAAATGGAAAAGATACTAGTAATTTTCCAGGACATTATCCATTATCCATTATTCATTAGCCATTGTAACCCTGTAACCCGAAAACACAAAATACAATGTGGAATTTAAAATGCAGGTAAAAAAAACTCTGAAAAATCAATACGGAAAATTCCTTCATATAGTAGATTGTGACCCATTTTTACAGATATTTTACAGAGTGTAGCATACTAACTAACTGCTAATACACTGCTTAAAACTATAATTGTTCAGAATGTGTAGTTTTACTAGTTTACTAGCTAATAAAAACAAACTTAAAGTGTAGGCCCTAATTGTTCAAAAATGTGCAAGTGTTCAATAATTCAATGTTGTATTTAAAAATACAGTTATTTATATTTTAATATTATATTACATTATATTATTTTACAAACAAATCTAAATTAACATAGGGCCTATATAAAATATTTTTTGCTGAGATTTTAAGTAGTGACAATTGTCATCGAGCAATGACATCACAACGTCATTTAGCAAATTTTAGCAACAAATTGACCTTCCTTTAGCAACCTCCCCTAAAAATGAGTTGGCAACACTGAAAGAATCTAACTTATGACCCGTAACTGTGATAAGTTGTGACTTAACTTCCCTCTCTAAGGCTTTCATAGCTAAAGAAGTTAATGCAATGGGCCGAAAATCGTTAAAAGAATGTGACTTCTCTCGCTTAGGAATAGGTATTATGTTAGACGTTTTCCATAAGCAAGGAACTACAGCTTGATCCAGGGGTGCCTGAAACAGTGAGTGAAACACAACACTGAGCTGCTCTGCACAGTGTTTAAGTGTTCTCCCACAGATGCCGTCTGGACCAGGCGCTTTGTTAACAGGTGTAGCTTTCAGCTGCTTCATTACATTCAAAATATGCAAATTCAAAGAGAGGTAGAGGGGCTCAATTTTTGTTTAAAATCATCAAGAACAGCACTTGTATCATGCTTCTCAAAACGTGTAAAAAAACTAATTCAGGTCGTTGACCAATAAATTACCATCAACGTCCTTCACCGTTCCTTGCTTCGGTATACTTATATCCGCCATGTTCTTTATCCCATGCCAGACTGCCCTCATGTCACCTTGAACAAAGTTATTTTCTATTTTGTTTTTTGTAATTTAGTTTAGCACATCTGATTGTTCTTTTAACCTCCTTATTGATCATTCTGATGTCAAAAATTGGTCTTGGACAGCGTAATATCATCTAACCCACTAGATGGCATTCACACCCAAAATAGTAATTTCATACCTCCTCAGAGAGCGTCTTTTTAAATTGTTCCGGTTGACACAAAGTTCTGTTGTAGTTTGTGAAATATTATAACGATTATTTAATTTGGGAATAAACCGAAAAAATATAACACTGAGAGAGAAAATAAAAGCAGAGACTTATTATTACTGTAATAAATCAAAGATGTTATTCTCCAAGCTTTGAGGGAAGGCGATTGTGACGTATGTGGCTGTGCTTTCTTCTGATTGGCTGAAAGTTATGTTGGGCACGTCCATTATAAAAAGTAAATTTACCAAATGGATTGTATTCACAGTCCACTCTCAAACTGTTAGTTTGCTAATCTTCTCCATAATTTAGGATAAGTGATCTTTAAATATTTTTAATGTTTTTGTATTAGTTTTTTTACTTGAACACCATAAACATCTTCTCTGCGAACACATTTGTATACATTGAGTCAGAATGTCCCATAGCTGTCGTCTGCTTTGTGGTTTTTTAATGAGCTGCATCGGCTGGACTGGTATTATAATAGCGACCTCAACAAACGACTGGGTGGTGACCTGTAAATACGGCATGCACACCTGCAGGAAGATGGATGAGCTGGAGACTAAGGGCTTGTGGACAGAGTGCGTCATCTCTACTGCTCTCTATCACTGCCTCTCACTCAACCAGATCCTCGATATACCAGGTGAGAAAGAGTTCAACATATGTTCATATTTATTAAAATCTTTATTTTGTTTGCATGCATTATTATTTTCTTCCGATTTATGGATTTTAAACAAATCGGCATTTAGTTTAGTTGTTTTTTAGTAGTCAGTAATGTCCTTTTTAACTCTAGAATATTATTTGAGTTGAAAAGTTCGCTGGAATTATTAAAAATTGTATATACGTGCCCTTTTTGTGATGTATATATCTTTTTTTTTGTGCGCAAATTATAGGTTGTCGGGGAGGCTGAATGCATTTGTTGTTGTGTTTGTTTGAAGCTTACATCCAGACGTCTCGCGCTCTGATGGTCTCCTCCTCTCTGCTCGGTCTGCCGGCTTTGGCGCTCGTGCTGCTGGCGATGCCATGCGTCAAACTGAGCCAAGAGACTGAAGGCACCAAACACAGACGCGCAGTCCTAGGAGGACTTCTTATACTGTTCATATGTGAGTTATTACTATGTTATTGATGAGAAATATATTAGGGTCAGCCTCAGGAAGAGGTGTGTCATTCACATCTCAACAATATGGACATTTCAATGGTCATTTCTTAAAGGGGTAGTTCGCCCCTAAATTATAGCGCTGTCATTTATTCACTCAAATGCTGTTCCAAAATCTGTTCACTTTATTTGTTATAGAACGCAAAAAGAGTCAATAATGTGCTATTCGCTGTTTTCAATGAATGAAAGTTTAAAGGGGTCATATGATGCGATTTCAAGTTTTCCTTTCTCTTTGGAGTGTTACAAGCTGTTGGTGCATAAAGAAGATTGTAAAGTTGCAAAGACTAAAGTCTCAAATCCAAAGAGATATTCTTTATAAAAGTTAAGAGTCAACCACGCCTACCTAAAACGGCTCGTTCTAACACGCCCCCACATGTCTACGTCACGATGTAATGCATCAACTTCGTGCTGTGGATCGCCGGATCGGCTTTCACCGTGGATGAAGCGGAGTCTAGTCCGGGGGCGTCACATGTGGTTGCCACAAGCCCGCTGGCCGCACCGTTCTCAAGCCCGCCGGCCGCGCCACTGATGATTCAAACGCGAGTTTTGAGCAGTGTAGAGTAGCACTTGTTGGTTGTTGTTTTTCCGATCACAAATGCAGACATGGTTTTATGTTTATGCAGCGCGATACGCAACGCGTAAAAAGACAGTATAAGTCATTATAATCAGTAATTATGTCCCCACTGGATGCAACAAATGCCTCGTATATGATGTTTATAATGGGTTTTAATGTTTTTGAATCGTCGCTCCGGCCTGACAGGGCATCACAATATGGTAAGGGGCGTAACATTTCCGTCACACGCTTGAGGTATTCGGCCAATCACAACACACTGGATAGCTGGCCAATCAGAGCACACCTTGCTTTTCAGACCGATGAGCTTTGTAAAAATCGACACGTTTGGGGCATACAGGCCATAGAGGAGAAACAATAATGTACATTATGTGGAAAATAATGTGTTTTTTGAAACTTAAACACATTGCATAATGCAAAATATTGCAAAATACACAACATAATGTTCTTTTTAGCAACGTCATATGACCCCTTTAAATAATATAAAATTGTCAAAAAAGTTGTTTTGTGCATTATATTCTAAGTCTTCTGAAGTCATATAGGATAACTTTTTTGACGAATAGAGGAAAAAGTTGATATATAGTCTGTGTGTAAACCTGAGGGACATTTATGATTTGGATCAGTCAATTCATTGAAAAGATCTACCTCACAAGAACAACTTGTATCACTACTTCACTCATGAACTCTCATGTAAGCGCCAAGAAGAATTATGTTCAATAAATGTGTCATTTCAATTTTTATGTGAACTGTCCTTTAAACTTTTTACTCAATTCTAAATTTGTGGATTTTACAGTTTAAAGTAGCACTTAACACTATTATAAATAAAGGTTCTTTATTTTCTTCTACGGTTTCATGAAGAACCTTCAATATCCATGGAACATTTCCATAAGTCTTTATTGTGGTAAAACATGCTTCAGATTGAACATCAGAATGAATGTTCTGCACACTAAGAAGAAATTGTTCTTTGAAGAATTGTTCACTGAAAGGTTCTTTGGGGATCCAAAAATGGTTCTATATGGCATCGAGGCAAAAACCCTTTTTTTAAGTGTTAAGTGCTACACTTAATCAACCCCATCATAGCAAACTTGGTATTTACCAAAACCCATTTAACCAATAACACCTGAGCACCATTTCTAGAACAGCCATGGTACCATTTCCTTCAAAGAACCCATTGATATATTACTCATGAACCTAAAATAAAAATTTGTTAAATTGTTGAAAATGTTGCAGTTCTAAGCAAAATGCTAGATGTTGTCCTCTGGTTGTTCATATCCTCTCTAAAGTCAAGCTTTCAACATACAGGGCTGAAAATGTCCTTGACTGAAGTAACTGTAAAACATCCAGAGATTTCCTACATCCTGTTAGAGTGGGAAGAGCCAGTCATGGTCAACTGTCCGACCCATTTGTACAGGTGGCTGGTTTAGATTTGGCTAGTTCTTTAGTGTAAACAACACAAATAAAATGTCCAGTCCTAAAGTGTGGTCACATTTACTGTTGTTAAGCAAAATGCAGTAATTTCAATGAGAATCTACGCTTTCTGGAATTTCATGTGAGGGCGAAAGCTTTCCACATGCAAATTTCAGATCAGGTTAAATTGGTCAAGCAAATTTGATACATTGACCCACAGAAACCTGCTTGATTTGAAGGTGACTTCTGTCGAGAATCGTTTCTCCATTGCAGTCAAGTCAGTTTCTATGATTCTGGTACTACATTATAGTGGCCTTCCTCTTGTTTTCAGCTCTGTGTGGGATGGTGTCGACGGTGTGGTTCCCCATCGGAGTGCTTCACGAGGACGGCCTGATGTCATTCGGATTCTCCCTGTATGCTGGCTGGGTCGGTTCAGCCTTTTGTTTTTTTGGCAGCTCGGTGATGATTTGTTGCTCAAGGGCCGACGGCCCAAGTCAAAATCCCGAAAACCGCTACTACTACTCAAAACACAGCGGAGTTACCAACTCCGGCCCTCCTATTAACAGCCATGCCAAGAGTGCACATGTGTGAATGTGAAGACGCACTGGATAAGACCGCAGGCTCCTTACCTCAAGATTTGAACACACACCAATCAAATATGTGAAGAATTTGTTTTCTACTGCCATGGTTTGACTGCAAACATGTGAAGATTTGGCGGGGACAGAGAATTCGGTGGAAACTGTTGAACATTAAAGGCTTTGTTTGAACAGACACTGAAAAGAATTCAAAGGGAAACAGTTCTCGATTCCCTAGGCATGTTTTTTCATGGAAGTATTTACACAGTATTAATTTCGCTCCTATATTTTTTCAGTGACTTTCTTTTAACTTTTTTTTTTTTTTACTTGTATCAAGCGTAGCGTTAGTTCTGGCAGGTCACGTTAGTCAAGCTCGCATCAGCTGACCTTCAGCTGATCCCCATCTACCTATGGGAATACGACATCTATCGAAGCATTCATATATAAGGTCCCTCAGTATTATCAGCAGTTTTTGCATTGCTCAATAGCTAATTACCCTCCTCCATCCCCAACTCCTCCTCTGTCAGTCGGGATTCAGCCTTCTGATTCTCATTGAATCAGACTAATTCTAAAATGTGTACATAAAATGATTGAACTTTAACAATATCTGCAATACATTTATATTAGTTCTGTTCTGTTTACCCTGGGGGGTTATTGCTGCTCTCCCTGCTCTCATCCATGCTAGGCTGCATGGAGGCGCAGGGAGTTCTTGCCCAGAACAGAACCATACCGCCAATCCAAACTGTATGCTAATTGTCAATCATCTTTGACGATAGTGGTCCTGACAGAAGTAAAAGTTGTGCATTTAAGCTTATTAGTTAATGCCAGCATTTAGGAAAGCATGTACACCCAGACAGACAGATAGACAGACGAACAGGAAATGACCAGAAGTTTTCCTGATCTCCTCACAGCTTCCTGCACACAACCTCCAAGGAAATCAGCATTTGAAATTTGAGAACAAATATCTGTAAGAGGATAACCGGTCATTTTTCTGGTCTCATATGGTTGGTGATTGATTTATTGGGGTAATGTATTATTTTATGCGCTGTTTGGGGGTTTGAAGACAAAACTACCGTCCACTGTTATGCATATTGCTTGTTCAAATCATCATGCCATCTCATGTTACACAAATGTAATGTGTCTAAATGAAAACATGAACTTCGCAAAATATTGTTATAGCTGATGACACAAAAAAGACACCTTTTGTGTTTGTAAAATATATTAATTTTAATATTTCATTTTAAATATATTTGTAGATTCTTTCAAACATGTAACTCTTGATCTCTGTGTATATAAATGTGTTCTGAATCCGAATGATTTTACGCACAGCTGTAGGGAAGAAATGTAAATATCCTCGTGCAAACCTAAACCACAAGAGTAAGACATTTCTACAAACCAGCATAGAAAGAATTTGATATCAATGTCGCAAAATATTTAGAGAACTATTAAGCTTTCACAGGGAGCCAATCATAATATTTCCCCTTGAAATTCAGAGGAGAGCTTGAGATTTTAGATCAAACACAGCTGTGGAGATGATGTAAGGTGAAAAGTCCACTCAATGCATCTACAGAGGGTTTCTGCTCATGTAGTGACAACTTGCATCAGTTTTTGCTTTAAAGAGTCATCCTGAGTTTTTATATGGAGAAGACAAAGGCATTGCTTTTAGGATCTACGTATAATGAAAAAGTGAATTTAAAACCAACACTGTAACAGCAGCTCACATGAGAAAGAAATACAAATTCTGAATCTGTTCAATATCGAAGTAAGCATATATTTGATTTAAGTAGAATAACATTAAGGAGGGGCTATTTAAAGGCACTTATGAAGCCTCAATAAAAAAAACGGGTCTAAACATCCCTCTAGATAATCGCTTATCTGTCTCAAGGTGCAAATGCATTTTAACAAGTACCTGTTCAAGAACAAATATTTTTAAGTTCACTAAGAAATACACACAAAATGATTTAATAATTAGAGAGACATGATTTTGTCAAGTAGAATGTGTTCCTGGACTGTTCCTCTCAAACAAGCACATACTAACATTAACCATTAACTACCCATTTGCTCTCATGAGATCCTAATCAAAATAAAAGTATTAATTTTAATAATGGGTTTGTTTAGTTTTTGTCTTTTGACAAAAAATATTGTTTAAATTCATATTGCCATGTCACTAATTTATTATATAAATTAAATAATATGAATATAAATTTAAAAAGAAATTATTTTAAAGTAAGCATGAAATGAAAATTCATGTTTTATAAATGCATCTTGATCTTTTTGTAAACTTCTATTTTTTTTTTAACCTTTTTACTCAAATTTCGTAACATGATCTTCCGTTCACTCGGATATGTATCACTATATGTCGCTTCCGTTTCATTCTGACTTTAAACATATATTACCAACAGTATGTTTTCATTAAAATTGTCTAATTTATCGTCATAATGCACATTTTCCTTTTGTCTTCATTACTTATTACAGTATTGTGGCATTGACCTAGGAACATATTCTATTTGCCAAAATCATGGTCACCCAAATCCAACCTCCACTGCGACAGTAGTTTAGTGTATATTGCTCACTCAGGTGAATACTCTTCATTGACCAGCTCCTCAAAGCCTTTATTGGTCCTGCCTTTACTTCTGTAATTGTGACTGTTGGATGGTCTCTGTTCATCATAGTGCTGCTGGTAGTCTTTCTGATAGCCACGCTCCTCAGCCGCCCAGCCCTGGTACTGTCCGTCCTCTTCGTCCTCCTGAGGAGGGAGGTCTTCATCGACACTGAAGCTGTCGTCCACCTCCGTGTCATACCTCTGGTAGGAGCTGGCATGAGCCGCTTCCTCTCTAGCGCTGAGTTCCAGCGAGCTGTTCCACATCCCGTAGCTAAAATAGATCAGCACACCTATAGGATGAAGAGATGGGGTCAGTTAAGGCCCATTCACACCAAGGATGATCATTCTAATTCTATGAGAACAGGGAAGTGCACACCATGACTATAACATTAACAACATAAAGGAATATCTTTGGAATCACTTTCAGAACTGCAGCGTGCAGCTAATTTAGTCATCGCTATAGTTATCATTCTTGGTGTAAATGGGCCTTTAGATGATTGGGAATATATGGAGTAGAGCTGCATGATTTGCTGATAAAAATTGTGATTGTGATTTCAAATGCAATATTAAAAAAACATTTTTTTGGTGCCGATAGCCTCACGGGCAGTGCACCGACATATAGCACCGCTGCGCTTCAACCGTCCCGAGTTCGAGTCCCGGCTCATGGACCTTTTCCGATCCTGCCACCCTCTCTCTCTAACACTTCGCTTCCTGTCTATAGACTGGCCAATCAAAGTAAAGGTAATAAACGCCAAAAAAAAATCTAACTTTTTGCCGATCCTGCCACCCTCTCTCTCTAACACTTCGCTTCCTGTCTATCGACTGGCCAATCAAAGTAAAGGTAATAAACGCCAAAAAAAAATCTAACTTTTTTAGGTTATGTATGGAGTATTATAGAGTATACTCTATTTTATTTTACAGTGAAATATCACAATAGTCATATTTCTTATTTTGTTTTTGTTTGGATTATAAATATTTAAATAACAAGTAAATAATTTAATATAGCAAAAATAATACTGTAAATAACTGTAAATAATACATGTAAATATATATAAATATTAATTGTAAATAATATGTAAAGAATATTGTAAATACATAATATAGAAATAATATATGTAAATAAATATAATACCTTATTCTACAGTGAAATATTACAGTAGTGATATTTCTTTCATTTTTATTATAAATAAGGTTTTGATCATTTTTTAAATAATAAATTAAATTATTTTTAAATAATACATTTTAAATCATCTATTTATAATCCAAATAAAATCAACAACAACAAAAAACAAAAGAAATATTACTATTGTAAGGTTTCACTGTAAAATGAAATAATTTATTCGATTTATTTAAAAAATATCAAATGATTATAATAATATTTTATGATTTAGCAATTATAATGATAATAATAATTACTACTACTACTAAATCACAAAATATTATTTCACATTATTTAATATTTTATTTAAACAATATATTTAAAATCAAAATGTAAAAAAAGAAAAGAAGAAAAAAATTATAATTGAGTCTTAATTTCTTCATTTTCAAATGTTAAATTATAGATCAGACCTTCGTTTTTTTTTGATGATAAGTAAATAATGAGCTGCTCACGTGTAAGAACAGTTCTGTGCTTAACATGCAACATGCGCATATATTTATTTAATTTAATCGCAGCCGTTGCAATTTAATAATCATACTAAGTTATAACAGGTTTTATTCCGATTATTCGTGTAGCCCTAATGTCTAGCGTACATAAGAGAAGATCTGGCTTACCTAGTGCGCACCACACCACAAAGCGCACCCAGGTGATGCTGGAGAGCTTGAGCATGAGGTAAATGTTCACCAGCATGGCAGCAGTGGGCACAAAGGGCACACAGGGCGCCATGTAGGGCAGCTTTTTAGGGTTCTCAGGCTGCCGGAGAATAATAATAACCAAAGTAACCATGAGGACAATCACAGTCATTATAAAAGGTAATATTGCCCAGCGAGCTCCTCCTGAGACCTGATCGAAGCCATAGATGACAAGCGTCCAGAGAAAGAAGGTCAAGATGAAGAAAAGGAGGACACAGGAAGTAACAGTACGTCCTGTTGCAGGTGTGGGCCTATCGCCCAAGTTTGGCAGGCCCAAACGCATCCGTATAGTGTAATAATGAGACCCCAAAATGCGTTTCAAGAGACTATTGGAGTCATCCACCTCAGTGCCGTTATCTCCAACGCCGTAGCCGGAACTATCCGACTGGTAACCTCCAGAGTCCAACTTTTCAATCAGAGTTTCGTCGTCTCCTTTGGAGGAGAGGTTCTTGGCCCCACAGGGGTTGTCGGCGTACTCTTCTCCACCAGGTGAGTTCATGTCCTTCTCACTAGCTGCCATCATTTCCTCCTTCCTCTTCCGCTCCTCCTCTTCCTCCTCAGTAAGGAAACTGGTGAAGCCATCTCTGGCGGGCTGATATCGCAGAAGCAGCACACATACCGACACCAGTGTGTAGGCCAGCAGTGTGCCGATGGACATCATCTCGATCAGGTCCCTCAGACTCACCAGGAGAGCCAACAGAGCAGCCAGAGAGCCTGATACAACACAGGCCACCACAGGCGTCTCTGTGTGCGGACTCACAAAGGACAGGAACCTGGCGTACACACAAACAAGCCAGAGTCATTATAGGTAACTAAAACTAAAACCATAAAAAACATTTTTCTTACTTGAAATAAAATCAACGTTCATTGAAA